GAGGTGACAGGCCAATAAATTTAAAGAAATAAAAAAGCATAATCATTGTTGCCAAAACAGCACATCTTGCCATAAGACTGTACCATTTCACCTTCGGCATTTACAGGTACACAGAAATATGTGGCAGAGCCAATGGCAAAAATTGAGACAGGCTCCCCAGAGCTACTTATGACCTGGTTCTGCAGTTGGACGGCCACATTTCTTTCCCTCCAGTCATGTGATTGCATTTTGGGCATTTGGCAACTGGCTTTTATTTACTGCCATTTGCAGCATCCTGCATTCTGGTGACTGCAATTTTTGGCGTTTAATGTCAGTTTCTGGCATTTACTTCTGGGGTTCATCAAAAAATGTCTATTAAGGAAAACTGGTTTGCTTAATAACCACAGTATTCACTTTATAATCGTTACAAAAGAAGATATAAAATCAGGCATGGTCACGTGTTGACTCTCTTAATGACTGCCAGAATTTACGACCATAATTCCAGGCTCAATTAGTGGCTGTAATCTGAGGACTACCTGTTTGGCAACATATTCATGGCTGACGTAGAGTGGTTTTTCCCCTCTGAAGCTCTTCCTTTAATAGTAGTTTTAACCATTCACTTGGATCTGACTCTTTGGACTTGATAGGCAAATGTTCTCCATGCTACCCTGTCAAGCACAGCTTCTTTCAGTTGTTCATCTTTGTATCAGCTTTGATGGTGTCAAGCCAGCCAGCTCTTTGCTTGGCCCTACTTCTTGATCCACTAACCAATCCTAGCATCATTGACTTTTCCCATGAATTTGCATCATGATGTGGCCAAAGTAAATTGGATGTAGTCTTGTGATTTTGGCTTCTAGTGATGTTTTATATGATTCAGCAGCTCTCTGTTGGCTGGTCTGGCTGTCCATGGTATACATAATGATTTATCCCAGCACCACAGTTCAAAGGCCTCAATTCTTCCTTGATCAGCCATTCTTAATATCCAGCTCTCACACTTGTACCTCATTATAGGGAAGATGATTGCTCTAAGTTGCCTGCTTTTTGTATCTGTATCAATATCTCCGCTTTTCCAGATCTTGTTCGTGTTAACTATTGCAGTGCATCCTAAGGTTATCCTGCGTTTCCTTTCAGATGTAGAAATGCTATCGTGAACAATTTTTGATCCAAGGAAAATAAATTCTCAAAACTAATTCCATTTCCTCTTTGTTGATTTTAAACATCTCATGTCCATTTGCAGCTGCTGTCATTATCTTTGAATCCTACTTTTCTACTTTCATCCTTGATTTTCCAGGTCATTTTTTCCAGGTCTTGCTTATTTTCAGCCAATAGTGTTGTATCATCTGTGTACATCACATTATTTATGGTTCTTCCCCAATCTTCACTCCAACATCAGGCAGTTCCAGATCTAATTTCCACATGATCACTTCAGCATACAGGTTGAACAAAAATGGTGATAACTCCTGTCTAACTCCCTTACCCCCACTTGTTTGTTCTCTTTGGTTTCTGGCATGAACATACTTTCCAGCAATTTCCATGATGTTACCTTGGATCTCTCACCTCTGTTCATTTCTAGTTTCAGTGGTTCTTAACTTCTGTGGCATACATATGTGAGATGCGGTTCATATTGAAGCTCCTTTTTTACTTGAGATTAATTGGTGACATTTTCATCATCTGTATTAATAATCCAATTCCATAATTCAAAAACTTCCACCCCACCATCACCCATCATCATCTTCAGCCTAAACCGAAGTACAGAACATCCTTGATGCTCCTGTGCAATGACATTGTGACACACCAACTCCATCTTACGCAGAGAACTGCAGAATGCCCTGTGTACTGTATGCTCCCAGCTTTCACCCAGCAGGCACCACCAAGGCTCTCATCTGTAACACTAAAAGCACATTTGTTCTGGTCTGCTTGACAGAGATGGAAGCAGCTGTTCAGGAAACTAAATCACCCCTCCAGTGAAATCTATAAACAAATCCATGGAGCCCAATGAATTCTCAGGGAGGATCTGTTAAAAGCAGATCAAAAGGATTCAGGCAGTCTTAAAAGAGCTCAACAAACAAGGCAATTTTAACAAGTTACAGGTTTTAATTGTTCCGTTGCTTACAATCAGTCTCACACAAAAGCTGCTTCTGCATAACCAACCAATTTTCCCTGCCCTTTCTCCCACCTTCCCCCAATTTAAATCCTACACCAGTTTAGTCATTCCGCTCATCTGATAACTTAAGTTGCAGCTCAAGAAAACTGATGCCTTTTTAATAAAAATTGTTACTCAGAAAAGGGGCTGCTGGACTCCCAATTTTTTTGCCATCGTGGACTAACATGGCTCTCCTCCTACACCATCGGTGAAGAAGTGATGGAATATTTGTTAGATTTGTGTCTCACCTGCTCTGTGGGTCTAAGGCAGCTTAAGGGAATCACCCTGTGATGGAGCTGGACCGAGAGACAGCAAATGGCTCAGAATCATGCAGGGAGCTTCCATGGCCCAGGCCCAGCTCCATCGTGCTCTGTTGCCATTGGCCAATCAGTCAGACTGTCTTTCCCTTCGGCTCAGTCAGTGCATCTCAACTGCGGTCTTGATGCTGAAGGAAATTCACAACTGCATGTCCCAAGTTCTGAAATTCTATTAGTGAACAGTTCCATAGCAGGAGCTGTCCAGCAGGAGGCAGCAGAGCCAAAGAAGGTTTTTCTGGAGCCTTAATGAGAGAGGTGGCATGGCAATTCTCCCCCTTTGCAAAGAGCAGAAGGTAGGCTGTGCTCTGTTTTTGAGGAAGAGGCATTGAGACGAAGCACGGGTTCAAACAAGTCCTCCTTTATTCCAAACAGCAACAGAACTGGTTACAAAACGGTGCGGTTCCCTTTTATAGTCCCCTGCAAGGTACTTTGCTGGCCAATTGTTGCAAGGGCTTTTTCCCACCTTGTGCATGTGCGCAAGGCTGGAAACAGCCTTTCTGGTCCCGGGCATCCATGTGGCCTGCCTGGGCCAATCATTGCAGCCTGCGTCTGCAGGCCCAGGACATACCTGGCTGGGTGTTATGTTATGTATCTACACCGTTGGCAATTTCCATGGTAGCCAAACTGCACAAAAGATTTAAGGGGCTGAGATTTAAGGACACCTTAAAGAGAAACACATTCCTCTTTAAAGCGGACCAAAGCGCTTACACTACTGATTTATACTGGTGAATTGATTTTATGTTCAGTCTGCAATCCTTCATTTGTCGTTCATTACTGATAAAGGAGAATGCTTGTAACTCAGGGTTGACATGAGGGGTCCTTGGTGCTCCCTGAGTTTGGTGGTTTTCTTGCAGACGTTTCATGGTCCAACCTAGGTAACTTCATCATTCATTGTTTTTAAATAAAAAGCCACCAAATTCAGATTTTGGGGTTCCCACCTTAAATCTTGCTAGATCTGTCAACCTCTTGGCATTTGATAAACTTTAAATATATTTTGATGTCCCACACTCCACGGACTAAGTTCGGTAGACTATCATAGTTCTCAGATATGAAAAAAGGGTGTACTACTAAATCTGATTTCATTTGGAAGAGGTAAAGAAGATGCCTTATTATGGTTAACTCTTACTCAGTGTTCTGGTTTGCCAATAGTTTAGGGTTGTGATTTTTCTGAAGTGTCTCATGTTTGACAATTTTGAGTTGCTTGCCAATCTAGCTACAAGTCACAAACCTGCATGGCAGCAAGCTAGTCTTTTTATCCTTTTGAATACAAATTTTGCCTTTGTCATCTTAGGCCTTTGACTTGAACCACCCGCTGGGCTTCACCATCTTGCCTGCTTTGATTTCTAAAGAATGGATCCCTTTTGTTCCAGGGCAGAGACCCCTGCACACCGGACCGCTGAATGTGGTGCTGCGCATCCGTCCATTGCATCTTTTTGTGGCGACAGGCACAGGATATGTGGGATATAAGCAATATGAGAAGTACCAGGAGAAGAATCTTGAAAAGTCGGGTGTGGAGGTGGCCCCCCAAATTGCAAGTGAATGGGAAGTAAGTTATTAAGCATTCTGTAATTTGTTCTTAAAGCCAAATAAAAAAAAAATAATAAGCATTCTTTAACTTGTTCTTAAATTCCAAATCCTTCCAAAGAAACTTAAGACCAAACAACTATTGTAGTGTATTGTTTAAAAAGCTGAATTTGGCTTATCTACTAGTATTTCTTCAACTCAGCCAATTAAAGCCATGCTTCCACTGCTGATCTGGAAAAAACTGGATCAAAAGAGTCATGAACCATGTGTGTTACTTTAAATAATTCACTTTAAACTTTTAAATCTAAAACATGCAATGTATACATTTTAACATCAAAGTTGATTTTAATTCAGAGAAATGTGAAATCTAGAGACTAATTGCATTTTGATTCACATGTTAGAATGGGAATCATGTAAGGTGGTTAAAAATGTGGATTGAACAAAATTCTTGAGTTTTGCTAAATATGAGCATAATGAGCCAATGAGCATAAACTGTAGTAGAAGGTTTTTCTTTTTTGTTTTAAATCATTGCTTCTTTAACAAATCTTGTAGTGGTGAAAGTTAATGCTTACAGGTCTCATCCTGTTGGCAAACAGTCCCTGTGCAATGTCGGCTAAATGCGTTAATTTATTTCTGAAAAGGAAAAGGTTTGTTTTAATTGCCATACCTAGCGTGGTGCTATTTCTGTACTTTTCTGCTGAGGGTGGATTTCCAGTAACCAGATCTTGTAGTGCACTGTGGGAGATCGTGCCCATTAATTAATTAGAGGTGAGTGAGTGGCTGGATTGCCTTGTTGACCTCTTGGGCGGCAGGCAGGATCTGAGGCATCCAGGAGCACTTCTGCTACCCTGGCTGAGCCCAGGGGTGTAAGATTAGGAGAGGATGGTTTTGATATAAATACTGTGTATATTTTACTGTGTTTCACTCTGTCCTGTGCAAGGGCAGGATACAGATTCTGTTCTTAATTAAGAGTTGCCAATATCCATTATGCCTGTTAGGATAACAAAGTTTTAAAGCAATAAAGATGAAGATAAAAAGACAGTGGGAGCATAATTTATTTCCCCAAAGAGGTCTGTCTGAATAAGCAAGCCCGGGAGTTGAATGTCGTTGGACCTGTGGTGGACGATCCTGCTCTAATGGCTGGCCTGGCTCAGGCCTTTTTTCCATCTTCCCTCGGTTTGCCAAAGGTCAGAAGAGGAGCCACAGCCATACATGCTTTCGTGACCCTCCCCACAACCCCGTTGCATTACACCATGTATTAATTCACTGCCTTGAAGAAAAGCGGAAGCTCATTCTGGTTTTTTCGTTTGGGCAGCTGAAATTCTGTTGGCAGAGAAATTCTGAGAGTTAAAGTCCACAAGTCTTAAAGTTGCCGAGTTTGGAGACCCCTGCATTAGAAAGGGGGGGGGAAGACTTTTACTTTCATTGCTGCCTTTGTTGGGCTGTACCAGTTGTCCTCGCCATTGTTTAGGTACGGCATGGCTTGTCTCAGATTCCACATTCAATTCCCCATTGCTGTAGTGAGAGGCTTTGTCAGCTGGGGCTAATACATTTTGGGAGGGATTCAAAAAAGTGGGTTTAGCCCTGAGATTACTCACTCCTGAATTGTGTAGAGTTTCAGAATATCTGCTGTTTGTTTTGAGATGATGTGCTTCCTCTTGAGTCTCATGGCCTGCCCTTCATCTATCCCTAAATTTCTGAAGGAGCTTCCTTTCCCTGGGCCAAAAGATCTATCTGTGCAGATAATTTCCATTTTTCTTTTGAAAATGAGCTTGTTTGCTACCCAGAAGGAAGAGGAGCTCTCTCTGGTGGGGCCCTAATTTTGGAATGCCCCCTTGCCTTTTATTATTTTGGCATCAAGTTGAAACCTTTCTTTTAAAGTGTTGTAATACAAATGAGGCGTTCCATTTTTGCATTTAAGTGTGCATTTTAATACTTGTAATATCAGTCTCCCGTTTTATTTCATGGGGTAGCTTGAATGTTGCGGTTGTCTCCTGGCCTGGGATGCCTTGTCTTTGTGTTCTGCCTGGGGCTGGCAGTGGCAGAGCTGCTGGTGCTGGGACATCTGTGGAACAGAGGGGGGGGGGGTACGCTTTCAGTCTGGTGTTACACATTTGGGGGGATGCTTGTTAAGTAGCAAAATGGATACCTTAAACCTTAAACCCCGTTAAAATAGGAAAATATGCTTAATTTGTCAAGAGGGGCTCTGCAAGGTATACGGCAGCCATTCATATCCCCAAACTGCCTAGAGCAGTGGTTCTCAACCTTTTTAATGCCGCGACCCCCCAACCGGTCGTAAGTCGAGGACTACTCAACTGGTGCAACACCGTTTGCAGAATGGGACTTTTAGCGGGCTCAGCAGGGCAGAGACAGCCTGGACAATTCCTATTGGCTTTTGAAAGCCAATAGAATTAGACTCTATTCAAGAGAGTCTATTCTATTGGCTTTCAAAAGCCAATAGAATCAAAGGGAGTAGCACAGCTAAGGAAAATGGCAGACTGCGTTGTTTGGCGACCCCCGTGAAATGGTCGTTCAACCCCAAATGGGGTCCCGACCCACAGGTTGAGAACCACTGCACTAGAGAAACCCCAAACAGCAAGATGGAATAAATAATAAACATGATCAATAAACAATTAAAACACATTGAAGAAGCATCTGAAATGTCCACCCCTGCCCGTTCCAGGGGGAGTGTTGGAGTCACTAGTGCAGTGCTGAACAACCCCCCGGCTTCATACCATTTCCAAATCTCTTGAAACGTGTAGCTTTGAAAATGACTTATTTTTTCCCCAGTCGCATCTCCCTGCCCCACCAGAGCCGGGAGACAGAGAATGTCCCCTCCCTCAAGGAGGTCCATCTAGTGGGGCCACAAAAAAAGGGCCTTTTTTGTGGTGGCTCCCTCCCTCCCTGGGGAATAGGAAAGATTGGCCTTGATATTCTTTTGAAAAACCCTGAAGATGTGGTCTTGCCCCAGGAACCCCAGGGTGACATGGAGCCCATCACGTAATTTGTTGGATTGTTGTCACGAAGGGGGCGAGGGGGTTATTCGGTTTTGTATTTGGGGTTTTATTGCTGTAATTTGCCCAGGGTCGCCGTGAGTCAGTTGGTGGGCCATTTAAAATTTCTTAATGAATAATAATGAATTGAAAAACTATCACAACTGTTGCCAGATAGGTTTCTTTAGAGTGCTTCCCTTGAATGAAGGCCAGTAGATTTTTTTTCCCATGTCCTGGACATAATCAGAGTGTAAAGGCCAGGGTGAGTCACTTGTGCTTTTTCCGCTTTCTGCTCTGTTGTTTGTTTTCCTTTAAATATAGACTGCAGATGACATCGTCGAGGGAGATGGTATAGTTGGCAGGAGAGCTGTCTAAAGTCTGGCAGAGGAGCAGCACACGTCCCCTGAACTCAGCGCCCTTTGGCCCCAGTTCATGGTGACATCTTATCCCGGGGAGGCTGGTACAGCGTGGTGTTCCAACTGAGCTCAACACCTGTCTGACTCAAGAGGAACCCGATGTCCCCCAGCCTTCCTCCGGGCCCTGGATTGGCCAGCAGAGGGGCAAGGCTGGTGTTGATGAGCAGCCCCTTGCAGGCAGGGCCCAAAGAGCACTGGGTTTGCAGAGGGCAAGAGCCTTCACCCCATGGGAGACCCTGCCTCCAAAGAAAGATCAGTGGAAAAGGCCAGAACAGAACCTCCTGTGCAGAGGAGACCCTTCCTCCGGGCCAGCTGCCCAGGGTGAGAGGGTTTGGGGGGGGGGAAATGTAACCCCTGATCCTCTGTCCAAGAAAGACAGGCCGTAGTAGTTGCGTGACACAAAGAGCTGTTACTAAGACTAAGGACTTTGATCCCTTGGGAACACTGGAATGTTCAGTACTATTATTAAATAGGGGGGGGGGGTGTTTTACTCCGAAGGCCTCCTGTGAATCAACATTTCTGTGGGAATGATAAGCTTTTTGTTTATACTATAACTTGGACTAAATCTGATCTGAAGGCCATTAAGGGCTACCATTTTGCGCAAATCAGCTTTTTTCTTGCTAGCTCTGTCCAGAGACAAGAGCTTATGCTGTGCTGAGAATACATAAAGGTCTCTCTCGGGGGATTAAATAGTTCTGAATGTCGTATATCGTGGTAAATCAGTACTTTAGAGCAGTGTTTCTCAACCTTGACCATTTTAAGGCATGTGGACTTCAACTCCCAGAATTCCACAGCCAGCAATGCTGGCTGTGGAATTCTGGGAGTTGAAGTCCACATGCCTTAAAATGGTCAAGGTTGAGAAACACTGCTTTAGAGAATGAGACTTTGGCTATGACCTATACACTCCATCATTTGCATTGGCTTATGTGTCCCTAAAATGTAGATTCAAGGGTAAGTTTGGTGTGGCAGTTGAAGGCTCCAGGCTAGAAACTGGGAGCCACAAAGGTCTTTACATAAAGCCAGCTGGGAGACTTTGGGCCCCTCGTGCTCTCTTAACTCTGGGAAAAAGAAATGGCAAAGCGTTTCCAAAAATCTCTCCAAGAAAACCGTATAGACTTGACCAGGCAGTTGCCAGGAGTCAGTAATGCCCTACCAAAACAAACCAAAATATTCATTCAGATGTTATGAAAATGGTTTCTCTTTTTTTAAATTCTGGAAGTTAGAGAAGGTGGCTTTAATGTTTTAGTTTATTTAATTCCATAAAGTGTATGGATTTCTTGGATTAATTAAAGAGGTTATGCTTACTATTCCATGAAAACTACCTTTATACTAGCATAATTGGCACCCCTTACTCACTGGAGCGTTTGGGGGTCCAACTAATTTGGAAGTATGAAATTTCTTCCCTTGTAGGTTAAAGACCCCGGTGGGATGAATACTGCAGATCACTTAATAGGATATCAATCAGAATAGAGTTGGAAGGGACTTTGGTGGTCTAGTCCAGGGCTTTTCAACCTTTTCACCAACTGTTCCAATTTTTAGGCTATGGCAATATTCGAGTACCACCTAGCAAGGTGTCAAAAACTTGATGACCAAAAAAAAACAAAAAACCTGTTCAAACTCGCAATTGCACTGAAATGTCTTATGACCATTTTTCACACTTATGTCCATTGCAGCATGCCCAGGGTCATGTGATTTATGTTTGGATGCTTGGGAACTGATTCATATTTATAATGGTCACAGCGTTCCAGGGTCATGTGATCCCCTTCTGCAACCTTTTGACAAGCAAAGTCAATGGTAGGGCTGCTAGGGGCCAAGTGCTAAGGCGGGACTTCCTTCCTTCCCTCCTTCCCTCCCTCCCTCTTTCCCTCCCTCCCTCTTTCCCTGCGTCCCTCTTTCTCATGCCCACCTCCTTCTGAAGGAAGAATTTGAACCCCCCCCCATATTTTCATTCTTCCATATATTCATCGAACAAGGAAAAGCCTCCAGAGACAGAAAAGTGAAGCTGCTGAGGGAATTAGCTTAAAAAGGCACATTCCCCTTTAAGAATTAGCTACTGCAGGGTTTTTCAACCCTTGGTACGGGTACCGCCTGTGGTACATTGGCATCTGGCAGGGGGTACGCAACCATCCTGGAAAAGTGGTAGTGGGGGAGGGGAATGAGCTGAACCGGTGGCAGCACCACACAAGCCTGAGCGAGAGATTGCTGGAGCTGCAGGGCTGTCAGGGCTCAGCGGAAGCACCAGGATCAGTGCCGCTTTCCAGTTGATCGGCGTTTCTGGGCTGTCAGGGCTCAGTGGAAGTGCCAGGATCAGTGCCAGGCTCCACTGGGTCATGTGAAGTGACCAAAACCTGCTGCAACCACCCAGCAGATGGGGGGGGGGATAAAAACCAAACACCCCCTACCCCACTCCCACTGCCAATTCTCAAGAGAAATGCTCACAATGAAAACCTCGGACAGGAGGAAGAGCGCGGCTGGGTGGGCAGGCAGGTGTCTTGCTCGGCACTTTTTTCAGTGCCATTGTAACTTCGAACAGTCACTAAGTGAACTGTTATAAGCCGAGGACTACCTGTACTTTATCACTTTTTTCCTTTTTTTTTTTTTGGGGTCATCAAGTTTTTGACACCTTGCTAGGCGACTGGTGGTACTCGGATGTTGCCATATCCTAAAAGTGGTACAATGGGTGAAAAGGTTGAAAAGCCCTGAGCTACTGGCTAGAAAGGAAAGTTAAGGAGCACAGCCGGCACTTAAGGAAGAAAAAAAAATGTAGTAAGTATTGGCTGCCAGCTAACGCAACCTCCCCAAATGGCTCCATTCATAAGTAAAGGAATGCTACAGGCAAAATCCATCCAGGAGAAAAATACTTCAAAATTCCTTGCAGCAAAACTTACAGCTAACAATAGCAGAACAATAGAAGCTAACAAGAGACATCAGCCATCAGCCAAATAAAAATTGCCAAACACTCCTTAAGAACACAAAGCCCTCATTGCACAAATCCCAGAACTTCAAAGTCACAAAAGCACATAAGAATCCTTCCACTCTCCATCTCCCTCCATGTCTTATCTCCAGCTGATGCTACCTTTCTTCATTCCTCCAGGAGGGCAACCCCTCCCCTGCTGCATTTCTTGCCTGTTTGTTGCTGCCAGCACAGGTGGTTGCCACAAAAGTTGTAGATCGGCTCATGGCCGGACTTCTTGGACTCCTTGATCTCCTCTCCTCTCCCCCCCCTCCTCCTCCTTCCTCTTCCGTGCAGCTAGAGCTGACTCCACATCTTCCTGTGGCTGCTTCTTTTTTTTTCCCCTCTCCCACCCAAACTGCTTCCTTTTATAGCCTCTCCTGTCTCCACCCCCTCCTCCTTTTTCATGGGGGAGGGTGAGGCCAGAAGTGAGCCTGGGGTGAGGCTCAGCCTCAGCCACTCTCCAGCTCCAGAGGACTCTCTCACTGCAAGTCCTTCCCTGTGCTGGCTCTTTCCTTCCCCCACTACACTTGGCTAGGCAAGGCTGCGTACCACCTGCCACTCATTAATGTACCACAAGTGGTACGCGTACCACAGGTTGAAAAGCCCTGCTCTAATCTATAAAGGCTCTGCTTCCAGCAGCTGAAACTTATGCCGTACAATTCTAAGGAGATGAAGTTGACATTCTTCATTAGCTCTTATTCTAGCCAGGTCGCAACACGCTAAGGCTTGCAAGTGGGACCCTATTGAAGCAGATCTTCCCCGTGGTGGCATCTGTCTTGTAGAATGATTTGCCCAAGGCAAGCATGTTTTGACAGAGATACAGTACTTGAGAGATGGCATCTAGTCTTTGTTTAAACATCTCCAGCAAAAGAGACTCCACCATCTCCCAAGACACTGAACGTCTGCTACTGTAGGTTGTTTTTCCTTTTGTTCATCTGAAGTCAGTTTCCTTATAACTCGTCCTGACTTCTCCTGACACGTAACATTTCTCTCATCTGTCTTGTCTTCTCTAAGCTAAACATATCCATGTCTCCGATTGTTCCTTAAACAATATTCCTTCAAGACTCTTTATCATCTAGGTTGCTGTCTTCTGGGAACTCTATATTTTATCAACCAGCTTCCTAAAATATGATGTGCAGACGTGGCACAATATGTCAAGTGTGATTGGACCAGTTCAGAATTGAAAGGACGGAGGACTTGTCTGGAGTTTGACATTTGATGGTGACCATAATTGCATTTCCTTTTTTTCAGCTTAATCACACTTTTAGATCATGTTCAGATTGTGGTCCGTCAAGACAACTAAATATTTTTTGATGTTCTGCTACCCGGTGTGATTTCAACCATCCCATACTCATGTCCTCAATTTTCTTACTCAAACATGGAACTTTGTTTTTGTCCCAAACAATTTTGCTGACTTTTGCCCATTGTTCTAATGTCTCAGATTCCTCCTGAATTTTGATACTGTCCTTTAAGCTGTTTACTATCTTTCCTATCTTCATATGCCATCCACAATTTAACACTCATATTTTCTAAACCTTCAACCAAGTCACTTGTAAAAACATTGAACAGCATAAGGCCTAAATCAGAAATTTCTGGTATTAACCCCATCTTCCAACTTAATGTGGCATGACTGATATAATTGCCAGATATAATTGTTCAATCAAATCTGTAACCTGTTAATAGTAGTGTCATCCTGCCTACATGTTGCTTGGAACTGAAAGGAGATTTGTTTGAATGCTTTTACGAAAAAAAGACATACTACTTCCATCACGATCCCATGGTCAATTTCATTTCATCCATTGTTTTTATATTACTGTTATTGTAACCTGCTTCATGGTTCACATAAATGTCTAATAGTCTTTAATTTGTGTATATGTGTGTGTGTATACACCTGTGTGCAGTAAGTCATTTAAAGTTAAATGGATTTTCTCTCAAGTAAGCAAATGTAGAATTGTAATCATAGCCCAGAGGATAAAAAATACAATGTGTGAAACCGTGGGGTAGATTATTTTGTGCATTTAAATTGGGAATATGAAACATTCAGTTATTTACTTTAGCCATTAGTTTACACACTTTTAGTTACAAAACAGCAGGCACAAGAAGGCTTACAACAAAACAAAAGAAAACATTATTACTATGAAATTCATGAATATGCAATAAATGCTTACAGAACAGACAAAGCAGTACAAACGTCTTGTCAGTTTAGACAGCCTTCAAAGGACTTTCACGGTAGGTCAGGACAAATGTTTGGCAGCAGCATTGGCCCAGTGCAAGTTCGTATTAGCTGTCCGTGGGTGCTCCTATGTCTTAAATGTCTTGCTGAGAAGGTGTGGATGGAAGATCTGGAGGTCTGTTCCTGTCAGTAAAGTTTGGGAGTCACAAAGGACATGAGAGAATAACTTGGAAAGAAGGAGGGGCTCCTCCCCTCCTCCCCCTCCCCTCCCTTCCGTGTTGGGAAGTGGTGCTTTTTTCCTGTAGGAAAGCAAACACCAGAAGACGGCCAGCCTGGGTGCAGGAGAAGTCTTGGATGGGATTGTCCCAGCCTTCAGGGTCCATCCTCTCGCCTGGTGAAAGCGCTTGGATACTCTAGAGATCGATCGATCGGGTACCTAAATCTATTGGCATGTAGGCTGTTTTCATTCCCCCATCTCTCAGTAAGACAGTGGATGCTGTGGCTAACCTGAACCTGCTTTTCTTTGAGAATAAAGTGTTGTTTAGATGCCCCGTATTTCACCCGTTTCCTAGCCATCCTTTAGCTCGGGGTCTTTCCAGGAGGGCTTACAGCAGTGGTTCTCATCAACCTGTGGTCTGTGGACCCCTGGGGGTGTGTGATGTCCTCACAGGGGCTTGAAGAAATGTTATGATTTAAATAGTGGATCTTGAGGGGTCTGTGGCCACAAAAGCTATTTAAAGGGGCCCTGTGGTGAAGAAAAAGTTGAGACTTAGAGCATTAAAACAAAAGAGTGGATGCAATTGGACAGTGTCTGTTCCAGTGGGCTTTTGGTGCCTAACATTTTCTATTGCTGTTTTTCCGACCTCCATTAATATTTTTCTCTGTTCAGGAAGATGATCCGGAGCCTGCTGCTGTTCCAACCTTTTGTGGGAGTTAATTGGTTTATAAATCAGTGCCAGGCTTTTGTCTGCTTAGCGGCTGCTGCAGTCTCAGTGGCTCCCTGCCTGAAGCATCTCAGCCAGTTGCAAAGTGCAGCTTCTCCCGCTGGCTGGTGTGACTCCAGTGACCCAGCCCAGCCCCCTCTTCGGAGGCTGCTGCTTTTGGCACATGCTGCCGGCAGTGGCCCCGGGCGGGCGGGTCTGGAGCTGGCAGGAAGCCTGGGGGAAGTGAGCAAGCCTCGTCATGAGGCCCATCGCTCCTCCTGCTCAGTTGCCTGCTGCGCCTGCCTCTCTTAAAGAAGGCCGGCTCTGTGATTTGCTGAAAAGTCACCTCTCCATCTCGGATGGTGGGGCCTCCTTAAGAGGGAATCACTGGAATCTGAGCCAGCTTTTCTACTCCACAGAGCGGCTTTCTTAAAGAAAAAGTGTGCTGGTAGTGTGCTGAGGCTGCACTTCCTAAGAACCGGGGACCTTATTTCTGAGGCCTCTTTGGGTCTCCCACACTGCTTTTCTTCTTCTTTGTCATCATCGGCGTGGTCCTCCTCCTCTCCTCCTCCTCACTGTCCTCATGATGAGTCAAGGGTATGGCAAAATTACTCTCCTGCTGACTTACTTTTTCTCTCAATTGTAAATGCAAATTTTACCTCCGAGTGTTTGAATAGGGAAGCGTGTGATTCCAGGTACATTACGCAATGTTACGGTTCCAGTTATAGGATGGTCAGAGTTTGTATCTGCCTTGAAAAGTATACGATAAAAAACAGGGTTCTTTTAACGGTGATCCAGTGTGTCTCCTCAGTATGTGCCAGCCTGACCTGTCTGGCTCTGATCAAGGCATTGGTGAGGAGAGGTTGATCTCAAGCCAAAATAACCCAGGAGAACGCCTGCGCAGGGTGGGATTGGCAAAGATCTCTCTTTCCATAAAGAAAAAAAAAAGTTCACAAATTTACCGCTTAGTAGGCATCGTGTAGGGGCTTTCTACATTCAGACACAGGGAGCTGGGTCCTCTGTGTCTCTGGGAGAGCTTGGAAGGACAATACGACCATCCTAATTCTTCCCCATTTTTAAATTATGAAAGCAGAGTGTGCGATGTATATAAAAAAATGGGCATCGCTTCCGTTGAACCATCCTAGCTCCCATCTTGCCTTTTTTGAGCACTCCATACAGACACCCCTGAAAGGGAGTAACTTTTCAGGGGGTTACTGTAATGGCAGTGAAACTTGAAATGGCCCGGCCTCTTGGGCAGCGCCTCAGGAAGATGCTTTCCCCCCCCCCCCAGCCTTGCCTTCCCCCTGCCCCCCCCCCCCCCGATCGGGATGAGGGGCTGGGGGCTTCTGCTTGCATTGTAGCTTTCTGGATGTTGGATAATAACATTTTTATTTTATTATTTTGTTTTATTTTGTTCTACTTTGTTTTATTTTTTGTTTTGTTTTGTTTTATTATTTGTTTTATTTTATTTATTATTTTATTACTTTACTCTACTCTACTTTACTTTACTATTTATTTTATTTTATTTTATTCTGATGAACTGTTGGAAAGTACCAGAGGACATTAGTTGAAAAATGTCTCCTCCCATTGATTCATTCAGTGCGCCAGATCGCTGCTTTGAAAGGAAAGGGCTGTTTCTCGAAAATGGCGTGAGCCGAGCGGCAGCCAGTCAGAGGCAGCCTTTCGGTCTCTATTGTTGGGCAAGGGTTAGCAGCCTGCAAAAGTTTCTGGGAAAGAAAGAGCGGTCCCAAGAGGTAGCCAGGAGGATTTAAAGAGGAGTAGCCGGTTGTGAAAGGAAGCGGTAAAGATACAAAAAGCAAGGGGAGGATTGTGCCTCAAGGGATGGACGGAGCTTTTATACAGCACCAAGAAATGCCCTGCCTGTAAAAAAGCAGCCCTGAACTCCCGTCCTGACGTGCCAAGTTTATTTGCTCATTTCTTTGTTTCAGTATGAAGGGAAGCTTTTCATTCTGAAGCCTTCTCCCCTCCACCCTCCGTGGGCCTGAATGACATAATGGGCCTCAGGCCTGGGCGGCCTCAGGCTGTGGGTGCAGATTTGCCCGAGGTAGGACTAACCAACCAAGACTCTGCAGACTGAATCCAAAAAGACACCCACAGTGCTCTAGGGCAGGGGTTCTCAATCTTGGCAACTTTAAGACTTGTGGACTTCAGTTCCCAGAATTCCTCAGCCAGCTTTGCTGGCTGAGGAATTCTGGGAATTGAAGTCCACAAGTCTTAAAGTTGCCAAGGTTGAGAACCCCTGCTCTAGGGAATACTTCTTCTTATTATCTACTTATAAGAACGCTGTAGCCTTTCTCTTCAAATGCAGATCTCGTACTTGGATAATTAAAATCTGATTAGCGAATTGATTGTCCTGATTTATCAACATCGTAATCAAGTGCTAATGATCAGAAAGTTGGAAAATCCTTTGTGTGCCTAAAGTAAATTGTGATCAGTTTATTTTAGAGGTACAGAGAATCTGACTTAGTCAAGCCAGTGGGATTCTTGTACATAAAACACAACATTAAAATAAGTTTAAGTAAAAAACACAGAATATAATAATGAGCTTGGGCAGCAGAGGGATTTCTGTTCCTTCCAGTCTTCTCTCAGACTCCAATTCTGGAATCACGTCTACTCTCAGAAGGAAAGACAAAAATAAATTTGGTGAATTGTTATCACTTCTAGATGTCAGGTTCGTGAGGTTCAACCTGATATTGCAACACCTGATGCTTCTGCTTGCTAGGTCCCTGAGACCTTGTATCCTATGGACCATTCAGCTGGTAATATTATAGTTTATTAGGCTGAATATAAGGTGAAGTGAGGAAATTGATAGAAGAAATTTAATGACAGGAAGAATGTGGAAATGTGGACTTCTCATTAACCGTGGAGAACAAAACAACAATTAAAATGAAATGTGTTAGATCAGTATATCCTAGGTTGTCATAGAACCGTACAGTTGAAAGGGATAGAGGCCATTAGTCCAACCTCTTAGTGCAGAAAGTGCTTTGCATTTTTATTTATTGGTACGATTTAGAGGCTGATTATCATCTTCTGCTTTGATTCAGATCCTAGGCAATCCTAGGTGAAAGCAGCTACTCAAGTGAAGGATTCGAGTATCATTCAACCTGGGAATGGAACGGAACAGACTGAGCTCATCATGAGATGCTGTCTGTAGGGTCCAGTGGAGAAAAGCAGAATCGGGGCACCTCAGCTGCCACCCTGAACCATAAACTTACCACTCCTGTTTTAGATTGTTTTGTTGTATGAACTCTGTGCTTTATTTGAGGTTGAGTCTGTTCTGAAAACTCAAAAGTAAATTGAATAAACTGTATTTAATTAATCACAAGTAAGCACATTGTGCAGCCACAACCAATGAAGCCTCAGGAGGATAAGGTAAATGGGAAGGTTTTCCCTGTCCAATTGTTTCTGACTCTAGAGAAGGGTGCTCATCTCCGTTTCTTAGCCGAGAGAGCCAGTGTTGTCCGAAGATATTTCCCTGGTCATGTGGCCAGCATGACTGTATGCCAAGGTGCACAGAGCACATCTACTCACCAAGTGGTGCTTATTTAGCTACTCGCACTTGCATGCTTTCGAACTGCTAGGTGGACAGGAGCTGGAGCAGGGAATGGGAGCTCACTCTGTCACACAGTACTTGGGTCTCAAACTGCCAAGCTCAGCAAGTTAACCCCTGAGCTATTGTGCCTTTTATCAGGAGGAAAAAAATGGTAGTTATCTCCTTCCTGTTTTGGAAGAAAGGCAAGATAACAACATTTACCCCATCCAGAGACAATTCAGGAGCCGGTTTGGCCTAGTGCAGTGGTTCTCAACCTGTGGGTCGGGACCCCATTTGGGGTCAAATGACCATTTCACGGGGGTCGCCAAACAACGCAGTCCGCCATTTTTTTCCCTTTTCCCTAGCTGTCCTACTCCCTCTTATTGGTGGCCACACCCACTTGGGGGTCACCACAACATGGGGAACTGTTTTATGGGGTCACGGCATTAGAAAGGTTGAGAACCACTGGCCTAGTGGTTAAGGCATCGGGCTAGAAGGCAGGAGATCCTGAGTTCTAGTTCGCCTTAGCCATGAATGCCCACTGGGTGATTTTGGGCCAGTCACTCCTCTCAGGCCAATCCACCTCACAGGGTTGTTGTAGGGAAAATAGGAGGAGGAAAGTGTGTTGGATACGTTTGCCACTGAGTCATTTTTAAAAATAATAAAGACAGGATACAAATGTATAAATAAATTCTCACATGATTACAGTGTGAACCAGGGGATGAAGAGACCCGAATGCATATATACTTAAATGTCATCTGGAGAGGGGAAAAAGCTCAGATCTCCAGTGCCAACAAAACCCCAAATTTATCCTTGCCAGCTCTGAATTTGTAAATGTAAAACAAAAGAAAACATAGCCAAGGACCTCATAATTTATAACAAAATACATATGTAAATAAAACTTTATGATTATGTTCCTTTTTCAAAAAAAAAATCCTTTCTAAAATGATCCGTGAGGTTGAGGGAGAGACGGGTTGTCCATCGCTATCAGCGTTTCTCAATCTTAACAGCGTTAAGATGTCTGAACTTCAGCTCCCCAAATTCCCCATTCCTGCGTCCTCCCTTCTTCAAGATTTGAATAGTAGTAAGAAGAGGGACAAAGGTTGATCAGATTTGCAGTTAAGCACAGAACTGGGAGTGGGGTTTGATGGTGGGGGAATTCTGGGAGTTGAAGTCCACCCATCTTCAAGTTGCCGTGGTTGAGAAACACCATGACAGGAGAAGACATAGAAATGAGTTTTGGGTCCTGCAAACCGAAATGTGTTTGCACTTGGTTTGCTTATGAGACAAACTCAGAGATCTGCTTCTGAGAGAGAAAGGTTTTTTTCTTTTTTCTTTTAAATTTTTATTTTTTAAACCAACAAAACAAGACAAAACAAAACATAACACACATACACACACAGTGTGTGCTCTTCCTTTTTTTAAACAGCAATTTCGTAACGGTAATCTATTATTTACATTTTCCCCCCTTATTCTTTTTTTTTTATTGAAAAGTTTTATACAAGTTTTAAACAATATCCCCCCCTCCCCAAAAAGTAACCCCCTCCCTCCCTCCCCCCCTCACTTCCCAGAACTGGTTACAGGGTTACTAATAAACAAACAAATTCTAAATAAACTTATCCAACTATACAAATAATAAAATCGATAATATACTTTAACTCAAATACAAAAAAAATGTAACAATATAAGCATTTCCAAATTAAAAACTATAAATAATTCATAATCTGCATAATGCATTTTAAACCCATATCATAACCCATATTTACTTCTTTAGATATATTTGTCATTGTCCCGTTGTTCCTTGTTTGCATTTTTCTTCCTTCATACTATACTTCATACTAAAAATAATACATATTAGTATTACTATACATTATTATACACACATTTTCCACTTTTAACCTTTCTCCTCTATTATTTCTAGTCTCCAACCAATCATACCACTTATTCCATATTAAATAGTACTCTGTGTCTTCCTTTTCTTTTATCTCTTTTGTTAATTTATCCATCTCAGCACAGTCCAGGATTTTCCTTATCACTTCTTCCTCTGATGGTATATTCTCATTTTTCCAAAACTGTTTGTATGCTATTCTTGCTACCGTTATTATATTAGAATTAAATACCGTATTTCTTTACTATATTTTCTGTTTAAAATACCCAGCAAAAAGATCTCTGGTTTACAGTCTACGGGTTGGTCTATTATTTCTTTGATCCATCTTCTTATTTTAGTCCAGTATTTTTTTGCAACTGGGCATGTCCACCATAAATGATAATATGTTCCATGTACTTTTTTACATTTCCAACATGTTGGCGAATTGTTCTGGAACATCTTAGCAAGCTTTGATGGTGGAAGATGCCATCTGTAAAACATCTTCAACTGGTTTTTCTTGAATGCCGCTGACATAGTCAATTTTATGTTTGTTTCCCATATTTTTTCTCATTTCTCCAATTCTATATTATATCCGAATTTTTTTGCCCATCTAATCATTGTGTCTTTGACAACCTCGTCTTCCATTTTATATCTCAATAGGTATTTGTATAAATTGCTAATTAATTTTATTTCTGTTCCATGTATAATCTAATCCAATTCTTGCGGCTCTTTTTGTATTTCATATACCGTATTTTCCGGTGTATTAGACGACTCGGCGTATAAGACAACCCCTGACTTCGGAGCCGATTTGCATGCTTAGAAAGTCGTCTTATATGCCGGAAACTACCGTAATTTCCGGCGTATAAGATGACTCGGCGTATAAGACAACCCCTGACTTCAGAGCCGATTTGCATGCTTTAGAAAGTCGTCTTATACGCTGGAAAATACGGTAATTTTTTGTCCTCTGTATATTTGGATTGAATTTGTGAAAATGTCCACCTGTCAATCTTTCTGCCTATATCTTGTTCCAATTCTTGTTTTGTTTTCAGATTTCCCTGTTCGTTTACTAATTCCTTTTATCTAATTATCTTATTTATATCCAGTATATCCTGAGTGTTTCAGAGCTTCTGTTGGGGATAACCACATTGGAATTCTTATATAATGTTTTTGTTTTATTTTTTCCCAAGTCTGTAGCAATGCATTCCTAACTATGTGTCTTTGAAAGTATCTGCATATTTTGTATTTTTCGTCCCGTAGGAACGCATGCCACCCCACTTGCAAGTCATGTCCTTCTATTGTTAAAACTCTGGTATTTTTCAATTCCATCCATTCTTTTAGCCAAGTTAGGCTCGATGCTTGGTAGTATGTTTCCCACTCTGGTAATGCCAATCCCCCTTTATCTTTTATATCTTGCAAGAATTTTAATTTAATCCTGGGTTTTTTCCTTTGCCATATAAATTTTGTGACCAATTTATTTAATTCTTGAAATAATGTTTTCCCTAATTTTATTGGAATAACTTGGAACAGAAATAATATTTTTGGCAATATATTCATTTTGACCGTAGCGGTCCTCCCTAAAAATTTGTAGATTTTCCCAATTTTCTAAATCTTTTTTTATCTGGTGTAATATTTTATCATAATTATCCTCCTTGATCGAGGAACACTTCGCTGTAAGCCAGATCCCTAAATATTTTATTTTCTTAGTTATACTTATCTTTGTTATCTTCCAGTTCACTTTTCTGTGCCTTTATAAGATTTTTAGTTATTAATTTGGATTTATTCTTATTAATCTTAAGTCCGGCTACCTCACCAAATTCTTCTATTTTTTTAATCAATTTAAGGCCGGTTTCTAATGGATCTTCCAAAATAAATACCAAATCGTCAGCGAAGGCTTGGACCTTATATTCTTCCTTCTTAATTTTTAAACCCTTTATTTCTTGGTCCTCTCTGATTTTTGTCAGGAGTATTTCTAATGATAAAATAAATAGAAGAGGGGAAAGTGGGCATCCTTGTCTTACTCCTTTGGTTATATCAATTTTTTCTGTCATTTCATCATTTATAATTACCCTAGCTGTTTGTTTAGTATATATTTTCTCAACCATCTTTCCAAATTTTGTCCCAAAATCCATATAGTACAATTGTGTTATAATAAACTTCCAATTCAGATTATCAAATGCCTTCTGGGCATCAAGAAAAACCAGTGTAGCTTGTCTTTCAGGATGGACTTCATAAAATTCTAAAGTATTCATTATTATCCTCATATTATTTTTTTATCTGTTGTCCTGGTAGAAATGCATTTTGATCTGGCTGGATGTAATTATTCAAAAATTTTTAAATCCTTTCTGCTATTATAGTTGCAAATTATAGTCTGTATTCAGTAGAGAAATCGGCCTATAATTTTGAATTTGTTGCAGGTCTGAGTCTTCCTTAGGGATAAGAGTGATGATTGCTTCAGTCCAAGTTGTCGATATCTTCTCTCCTCCAGCACTTCCTCATACATCTCCAACATTATCCATTGTAGTGACTCTTGTGTATTTTTATAAAACTCAACCGGAATTCCATCTGGGCCTGGTGATTTATTGTTTTTTTTTTTTTCAATGCTGTTTCTAGCTCTATTGCGGCTATTGGTCTATTCAACATTTCCTTTTGTTCTTCGGTGATTTTACCTGAGAGACAAAGTTAGCAAGAGACACCTGAAGAGCCCCCCAGGGCAGGAGCTCCAGGGTGCCTGGAAGGCCAGAGGAAAAAGCTCTTCCAGGTGTTTGATCCTCCTGTCCCTCATTGCTTGGTGGAGCTCAATAGAACTGCCGTCCACTTCATGTGAAGATACTGATAGAAGCAGAAGATTTGCTGAAATTTGTGTTTGGATTTAGAAGAAATATTTTAGAATAGATACAGGTACAGGTAGTCTTCGAGTTACGGAGCCTGCCCATTCCACTCGTAACTCGAAAACTCGTGGGAATGAATTGCGTACCTCAAACAAGATCAGTGCCTTGCTCATTAAAACTCATGCGGCTTGTTAAGTGCACATGCGGTATCTCAGGGTGGGAAAGGCCATGGAGGGGCCTAGTGATGGAACAGGCCCCCAATGCCTCCCCAACCCACTAAGACAGAGGCCCCCAATCTTTTGGGCACCAGGGACCAGTTACATGGAGAAAGGTTTTTCCGCGGACTGGAGAGTGTGTGGTTTTATGTGCTGCCTGCATCCCACGGATGGGGCTTTGCTTGTTTGTGCAATCCGATTACTGGTCCACTAAGATACCGCCTGCTTCCCCTCCCCTCCTGCCATGCCAGACTCATGCAGTTAGTGCTGCCGCCTGGATCTCAGTCTGGGGAATGCTTTTGCGCTGCCCCTGAGGCCCAATCCAGGCTCCGGAGGCATTTTCCAGGTTGCTGCCGCCTGGAAATGGGCTGCCAGAGGGCTACGTAAGCATCACCTGGCCTCAGATCCGGGCGACAGCGGCCTGGAAAAGGCCTCCGGAGCCCCGATCCAGCCTCCGGACGCATGTGGAAGCATCCCCCGGCTTCGGTTCCGTTCTCTGTTGCAGAGGCCTAAAGTTCCATGAGGTCACATGAGATCAATAGCGTGAGATCTCGCCCCATTGATCTCACGTGATCTTACGTTACTTTAGGCCTCCGTTCTCCGCGAACGCACCGAAGGCCTTGAGCAGCCAAGAAAGCAAAGGATCTCGATCTTGGCAGGGTGAGTATTGACTGCCTGGTGCCGAGAGAGAGCCGGGCGGGGGTGGGGAGGGAATAACCGGGGTGAATGTTGCAGAGCCTCTGCAGTCGCTCGGAAGGGTGAACGGCTGCCGTGGTGCCCCAATATTTGTAATTTTGGGACTTGCTTGTGAGCACTAGGGGGCGCTCATCACGTAACTTTGAACGAGCGTTAAGTGAACGCTCGTAACTTGGGGATTACCTGTAGTCCCCAACTTACAACCATTCATTTAGTGACTGTTCGAACGGAAACAAGTGAGTTATGACCATTTTTCATCCTTATGAACGTTGCAGGGTCCCCAGGGTCCCGTGATCAAAATGGCATGCCTTTAAGATGGCTGCAACATCCCGGAATCAGATGATCCCCTTTGTGACCTTCTGACAAGCGAGTTGTTAACAACCCAGTTACTAACCTAACAACTGCAGCGACTCCCTTAACAACTGTGGCAAGAAAGGTCATAAAATGAGGCAAAACTCACTTAACAACTGCCTCGCTTAGCAACAGTCATTTTGGGCTCGTAAATTTTGTGGTCATAAGGCGAGGACTGCCTGTATGTGCCCAGTTGATTTTGTTCAAGGAGGAAGGGTTCGTTCTCCGGCCTGCTGCTTCTCTCCGGGCTCCCTCCCTTCCGAATCATACGGGCCCTTGAATGCTGCTGGCAATATTTGGCGACCAGAAACCAACTCCTTGTTTTCTTCAGCCAAACTCAGCCGTGGCTTTCTGGAGAGTGACGTCCTTTCTCATCAGGCTTCTGGTGTGGTTTTTGGCCCCTTGTCTGGCGCCAGCTCAGATACCTGCCACGACTTGCAATCTTGGGGAGACGAGGGTCCTCCCGATGAACCTTCTGTGCTGTTGCCTGCCCTGCTTGGTTATCAATATGCTGCTGATTCCCATTCCTTCTGTCGCTGGAAAATGTTTGCAGAGAGGTTGATTCTCTGGGCCTGGGCCAGGGGGGCCTCACAGTGCCTGGCGTGAGAATCCCTCACTGGCCTCCAGCCGGCCTCGGCTGGACAAGAAGGCATTCTTTGGCCCTGGGAGTGCCGCATGCGTTACCGGGTCTTGCACGCCTGCCCAGAACCAGCCAGGCTGTCATTTACTGCAGTGCAGCGTTGAGGCGAGAATTGTCTCCCCTCCTCCTGGCCAGCCAGCCTCACTCACCTCCAGCCCGGCTTTAGGGGAGAGATGCCTGCAGCTGGCCAGACGAGCCGCTGCTGACCGTGGGGCTTCCCTCTCGCCCCAGACTCTTCCGAGAAGCAGCCCAGCTCCCATGGCAGCCCCCCGGCTGAAGCGGGGCCGGCGCACGTGTGTGTGGGGGAGAGGAGCATTTGCTTGTCTCTGCAGAAGGATGTGACCCGGTACCTGTTTGTTTGCACTAGTTGAGACCATCCTAAGAACAAGAGGCAAGGCCAGTCGGAGGACAGACCTGCAGGAGAACTTGGGAGCCGTGACTGCGCCTCCTCCTTGCCTCCCCCTCCTTTCCCGCTGCCGGAGCCAGGGGGGGAAAGAAGCAAGAGAGAGAGAGAGAGGAACTGAGTCTCAGCCTGACAGCCCAGGATGTGTCAGTCAAGCGCCCTGCAGGGACCAGAGCTGCACTCAGGGAAATGGTGAGATGCTGCAAAGCTTTACCTAACCCTCCTCCCTATTGCTGCACCCTCCACAAAGTTAGAATTCATGTCCGGAGGCTGCGCTCAGGAAACGCTGGCGGTGGTGGTGGTGGCGGTGGCGGCAGCTGTGCCGGGGAGCAGCATCCACAGCTGGAAAGCCCAGGCCCAGCTGGGAGCATCCCAAATAGGAAAGCCCGTTTCAGGTACTGTCTGGCGTCTCCGGCTTTGCGAGGAGGAGGGGGGGGAGGAAGGGTGGGAAGACTGGCAGGTGCCCACCAAGCCTTTGTTTGGCCCAATTGCGGTGACAAACCTCTGGATTCCCTCGATTGGCACAGGAAGGAGGGGCATCGCAGGTCTCTCAGGCCCTTTGGGGGGTGGAACAAGAGGGGCTGGGCCTCACCTGGGGACGGAGGGGGGTCTCTGGGAAACGAGGCCCTGCCTGGAGAGCCCGGGTCCTTTTTTTCAGGCAGCTCTCAAGCCGCCACTCGGCAGGGATTGGCTGTGATTGTCTGCAGTGAAAGGGGGAAAGATGGAGCCAGAAAGCGAGCGAGCGTGATGCCTCTCAGCTCTTACCATTGTCTCCTGCCTGGCTAGCTTGGGGGTGGGGGTGGAGAAGGAGCAGGGGGGGGGAGAGGAAGGAATGAGCAGGATGCAGGAGGTCCCTTTCAGCCTCCTTCCCTTTTTTGGGCTGAAACCCAGTGGCCCCCTCTGGGGCTGGGGGCTGTGGCTGAGGCTATTGCTTCAGTCCTCAGGGATCCAAACTAGTTAGATCCAAACTAGCTCTTCTCCAGGCTTTATTCTTGGGATAGATCCCTGATGCACTTTCCAGACGTTCTTTCTCCCGAAGGGGTTATTTCTCTCTCAGTGACAGTGCTCTTTGCAAGTCTGCCCTAGGTGGGCATTGGGCCGGCCGTTGAGGCTTGAAATACAGCTTTGCTTCTCATTTGTAACTAATACATGCTAGAAGAAGAGCGAGCGCTGTCTTTCCAAATAAAATAAAAATGAACAACTGGATGGAATTTGCTAGTGGGGCTCTTTGTTTGGGTCAATTTAAGCTTAATCCAGCCTTTGTCTCTTTTTGTTATGAAGAGTTTGATCCGGAGATCAGATGTTTCAGAAGCCCTGTGTGAGTCAGGGTTTTAAACTACTTTCCTGATTTAAAGCAGTGCTGTTAGTAGTCCCTACAGGATGACTGAGTACCTCCGTTCTTTTTTTCTGTTGGAACTTGTTGCCTGCTGAGAGGAAGGGGGTACCTGAGTCTTGCTGGTTTTCTTGTGGGTTTTAGGGGACCCACCTGGTCCTAATGCAGATCTTGCTGCAACCTGATTCTTTACAGTGCTGGCAACTTGCAGGATATCCTAGTGAGGTTTTCAGCTCTTCAGGGGAAAAGAGACAAACCCTCAGACTGGTCTCCATACTCTTGTTCTACAGAACATTCCCCGATTATCCCTGCAAAGGCCAGCAGGAATGTAAGTTCTTAATAAACCACAGGGAAAGAGGCTTTGGCTTCATCCTGTAGCAGAGTAGGTAAAATTCCCCAGGCAGAAGGATTTGCCACTTCCTGTACTGTCTTGTAGCTTTGTCTTTGCTGCAGACAGTGGCAAAACTGTCCTCCCTGGTGGGATATATTTGGAGGGGCTTCTATTATCTTTCCCACCCGGTACTGCTTCTTCCTCCTGGACTCGGGGGGAGCTTCCTTGAGGCCAAGACCGTCTGAATCATGGCGAATTGAGCTGCTCTGCTTTGCTGGGGTTAGTTAGGCCAGCTGGTGGGAGTGGCCCCGTTTTGGGAGAAAGCCTCAGGAGGCAAAAGAGAGCCCCCCCCTACCCCCCACCCCCGACACCAGGTTGGCTGACCATCTTGTGTGTCTGTAATTCCACAGGTTGCAATTTCCCCAGCTGGCCCTGAGGCGGAGGTTGGGCCAGCTGAGCTGTATGTCTAGGCCTGCTCTGAGACTCCGTTCTTGGCCTCTGACTATTCTCTATTATCTCCTGCCTTTCGGTGCTCTTAAACCTTTGACCAGAGTGAGATGGAGGCCTGTGAGCCGGGTAAGTGCTTGTGAGTTTGTCTTGTGCTTGTGCGGCCCTGTTGTTGTGGGGGGGGGCGGGGGGGGCTTTTGGTAGGCCAGAGGAGCTGAAACAGGGATGGCCGCTGAAGGGTGAGGATGCCTGAGGAGGCTGTCTTTTCCTCTCCTCTTGCACCTTGCCTGACTCCATTATGTCTTTGCAAAAGGGACCTCCAGGGGTGCCTCTGCCTGGAAACTGCTGGCACAGTGGGAGAGAAAGTCATGCCAGCCACTGTCCTTGTCCTGGGCAGCTAGAGATGGTTGCCACCTGTCTTTAGGCTGCTCAGAATTGCGCCACGGAGAGGTAAAACGCCTTGGCTTTGGGAGCTGCAGGACATGCCTGCAAATGGATCCAGAGGCTCCCACTTCCTCTCCCAGCACCCTTGGGGCTTTCTTTGCGTGGCCCTGGACACCTGGGTATTACTTGAGAGGATGCAACTCCCCGTCCTTGTGGGGAACTATCCTTCTGAAGGCATCTCTGTAGGGTCAAGGGCTTTTTCTGCAGGAGGTTGTGGTCACAGCTGTTCAGTTCGTTCCTTTTAATTATGTAGAGATATTGGTATTAAGTAAATAATTTACATGAAAAGCAGGTGTGATGGCTGGCTGTTGCTTTTGTTTCGGACTTCCCAAAGCGGTTGCTCTTTCCTTGTTTGTTTTCTATCTGTCTTAGGGTGCTGCTGTTTCATCTGTGAAATAGAAATTAGGACAAAAATTTAACAAAAAGAATCCGAAGTACTCCCAAGAAATAATGCACAATATATCAGTTAGCAAACTCTAATACCACATACCAGTTTATACATTCTAAACGTTTAAGTTTCTTATAATTTCACACCCACATTTGAGTAGTCTTATCCATTTTAGAATGCATTGGGGAGGGGGAAGAGGTGAGGAAAATATTGCACTTTCTTTGTTTGTCTCTTCTTGTTTTGGAGTTGGTGTAATTCATGAGAGAACCCATGGCACACTCGTGTCAATTACAAGAGTTAGTGGACCAGAGGAATGCTGTGGTTATAATTTACTTGGACTTCAGTAAGGCATTTGATAAAGTAGATCACAACCTACTACTTGATAAGATAGAAAAATGTGGGTTAGACAGCATCACCACCAGATGGATCTGTAGCTGGCTGACCGGCCGTACTTAGTGCGTGGTCCTCAATGGAACTGCATCTACATGGAGGGAAGTGTGTAGTGGGGTGCCTCAGGGCTCTGTTCTGGGCCTAGTGCTCTTCAACATCTTCGTCAATGATTTGGATGAGGGGATACATGGGGAACTCATCAAATTTGCAGATGACACCAAGCTGGCTGGAATAGCCAACATTCCAGAAGACAGGCTTAGGATACAGAAGGATCTTGACAGACTTGAACATTGGGTGCTATCCAACAAAATGAAATTCAGTGGTGGAAAAAGTAAGATTCTGCATTTATGCAAGAAAAACCAAATGCACAGGTATAGTATAGGGGGCACCTTGCTCAATAGTTGGTTACGTCTGATTGCAGAGATCTGTGAAGAGTGTTATCAGAGTGTTCCAGTTAGCGATCCATGCAATATACGCTCCATCTTTTGAACTTCTGGCTTGAGCCCAAGGTGGAGGCCTCCAGGAACTCGGAGTTTGCTATCTGTGTTGCTGCCCAAGTTAGAGCTTTGCCCATTGACTGTTATCAACAACCTGCCAAGGAGTTATGATCTTTCGGCCTTCCCTTCTGGAGAGCCAGCCGGCCTGCCTGGCTGGAGATGATGTACTGAGAGATTAAGAGGCTGAGAGGTTTTCTTGCTCTCTTGCAGTTCCACACACTTTAGACTCTGAGATTTGGTCCCTGTTTTTTTGCTGCTGTTTGAGGGTACATTTTTATTATATTTGACATTCTTGGGCCCCTTTCCCACGAAAGCCATCCCCGGGGAGGGGCAGTTGGATCCACATTGAGTAGAGAATGATGCTTTTTGAGATTTCCTTGAGGTGCCTGTTCTCCCAGCCCATGTGCCACAGTTCATTTGGCATATTTGAATTTGTTGTTGTTAATTGCGAAGTCGTATCTGACCCATCGCGACCCCATGGACAACGTTCCTCCAGATCTTCCTGTCCTCTACCATTTTCTGGAGTCCATTTAAGTTCACACCTACTGCTTCAGTGACTCCATCCAGCCACCTGATTCTCTATCGTCCCCTTCTTCTATTGCCCTCAATCTTTCCCAGCATTGGGCCCTTCTCCAGTGAGTCCTTCCTTCTCATTAGGTGGCCAAAGTATTTGAGTTTCCACTTCAGGATCTGGCCTTCTAAAGAGCAGTCGGGGTTGATCTCTTCTAGGACTAACCGGTTTGAACGCCTTGCAGTCCAAGGGACTCGCAGGAGTCTTCTCCAGCACCATAGTTCAAAGGCCTCAATTCTTTTGCGCTCATATTTGAATTTAAGGACCTTTAAAGCAGACCCTGATTCCACAGGGACTTCAGAGAATGGAGCAGTTTGCATGCAGCCATTGAACAAACGTTGGTTTATCACATGAGAGCTTAGCTGCCACTTCCATCCATTGCACCAGGAACTTGGCAGAGAAATAGATCATCTAGGTAAGCGCTTAAAATAAGCTGAAACCATCCAGTAGACTGAGCCCGATAAATAATGGAGGTTGGTATGCCTGTACTGCTCTTGCTACTTTTATTTTTTTCCTCGGTGTTTTCTTATAAATGATTTTTAAAAGGGATCATGCAAGAAAAAATCTTTTCTGTTTTGTGTTAGGGAGCTCATAATGAGGGGCCCTGGGATTCTCTAAAATCAGGATGCTCAATAGGAATAATAGAAGCTGACTGGCTGCATTGTTCTCAGGGCAGCCGTTGTGATGGCAATAGACTGGAATTCGGGTCATGTGGCAATTCCTGGCACCTCTCTTGGGCAAATGAAACTGGGCATCTCCCCCTCTGGGCACAGAGGCATTGTTCTGACCCTGGCACTGCAGCACCAACAATTCGTTGAAGAACTGCACAAGCAAGAATGCTGTTGGATGCATTGATAGCAAACAGCCAGTCATGTTAGTTTCTTATTTAGAAAAGCTTCATTCCCAGGAAAACTTACACTTGGAAAACAGGAGAGTTTTTTTATCTCCTTGGGCTGCAAGAAAAGTCCCCCATTGTAGCCTGCGTGGTGAATTGCAGCTCAGCCCTGTCTGGAAGAACATTGTTTGTCACACCTGGTGTACAGCACGCCTGGTTGCATGGAGGAATAGTAAGAACTGGAAGCCAGAGTTGGAGCTATTAGAAATGTCAGATTCACTCAGCTTCTGATAATTCTCATCAGACTTAAGGAGCAGCACTGTGGTCTCTTTCAGCACTTCCAATCTTGGAGCCTGACCCCAACAATTGACCTGGCCCTGAACGTACTTAAACGCAAGTACCGCAAATCCTCTCTTGCAGTATTTCCCAACCGTGGTGACTTTAAGATGTGTGGACTTCAACTCCCAGAATTCCCCAGCCAGCAAAGCTGGTTTTGTCCACACATCTTAAAGTTGCCAAGGTTGAGACACACTGATCTACCAGATGGGTCATGCAGCTGGAACTCCCCCCCCCCCAATGTCTCTTTCTTTAAAACTCTGGAGTGGCAGAAGGCCAGAGATAAAAGATGATTCAGCAAGAGGTCTGAGGGAATTTGGGGCACATTTATCCTTTATTTTTATTTTATATTTTTATTTCGTTTGCAACTTTTACAGATACGTATACTACCGTTTAAAGGACTAACCCTTATTTGAGATCAGAAATACTATTTTCTTGGCCATTCTGCAGATGCTTTGTTGAATGAACATCTGCATCAGGTACATCGCTGGCCCAAAGAAAAGCAAGAGGACAGTCAGAATTGTGTCTCCTCCTCCTTCCACCCCCCCCCCCCAACTACCTGGCTGCTTCCTCCTTCATCCCCTCCTCTGACTTGTGGCAGCTCCTCTTCTGCATACCAGGTGAAGCGGAGGCAGTGCCTGTGGTTATAGAGATGGCCAAATTGTTATTTTCCACAGACTCCAAGATCTCTGTATGAAACTTAGGCTAAACTACCTACAGTGTTCAGTCTCTTGTGACATTAACCATCATGGTTCCTCTTGATGGAACCTGGTTTGCTAGTACACCATCCTCCACTTCTGACATTCTCATGCCTGTAATTTGGCTGTGCAGAGAGACTTTGCAGCACCAGTAGGGTTCCAGAACGAGTGTCTAGTAAGCTCCTCCGTCACAGAATGAGGATCACTGTTCCTGAAGCCATGGTTATTTAGAACAGAGGTCCAGAAATCCGTTCCTTAGGAATAGGCTCCAGTCAGACTTCTAGCTCTTCATTAGGCCAGACTCATCGGCTCTGCTCTCGGGGAGGCCGTCTGCAGTTGGCCATTTCTTCCCCAGAAGTCCTGAGAGAGAGCCAGTCATTCTACGGGGCTCCTGCTGTGTAGGTCACCCCGCCTGGGGACAGGAAGGCTGCTGGACGCCCCACCTCTTCCCCCCTGCTTTCAGTTGTGGCCAAGGAAGCTCTTCAGCTCTCTTCAGCTGCTCTCCCAGGACAGCTCCACATTGCACACAATCAGGAGCTCAGCAAAGGGCGGGAGAATGGAGACCACGGTTCTCAGACTAGGAACTGGGCTCGAACTGAGCTTAAGGGAGCTTAAAAGCGAGAAGGAAAATCCCATCACAAGAGCAGCTGCGGGATGGATCTTAGCAACCGTCGAGGGAGTTCGGGAGATGAATCACCAGAAAAAGGAGAATGTCCGCATTTGGCCTTCAAGGCAATGGGATAAAGGGGCATTATTGAATCTGTGTGCCAGGCTGCATGAAATGGGCAAGGCCCTGGTAAAGGCATCATTGGCTGTTTTGTCTGCTGGCAGAAACCTAAACACTCTCTAGCTGACATGTTGGTATAGCTCCCTTCCATGAACGGAGAGCAAAGCATTACATGCGGCTGACGGAAACGCTCTGCACGGAAACAGACATCACCAGATAATTGGCTGAAGCCAGGGGTGCAGC